TCCAACTCCTGGTGGAACTCACTTTGCATATTAGCCTTTGATATACATATAGGTTGACAAAAGTTGCCTTAAATCCAAGTATTCTACACCACAAGATTTTCAACCTGGAATTCAGAAAGCATCAAGTCCAAACCCATATGTAGAAACAAACCAATAAAGCCAAAGTGATTTCCACCCAGGCCACACGGTGGATCAATGGCAGTGTTAGGACTAGGCATAGGCTGCTGACTCCTGTTCTGTGCTCCTTCCCCAATGCCCACCCCACATGTGAGGCCCAGAGGAGACAGCAATGTCCCACACATGGGACTGGTGGCAGAGTCTACCCCTCCTGTCCAATTCCACTACTAGATAAAAATCCAAGAAAACGGAAAACACAAAAACTTGCACACTTATGTTCACAGCAATGTTATTTATAATAGCCAAAAAGTGGAAACAAACCTAATAACCATCAATCCTATATAATAAAGATGTAATATGCAAATAGTCATTACACCATGAAGTGTTAATGACCGACCACATAATGACCAGATCACTGATGAGCAGGAGGGTGGGGCAGAGAGCTACAAGGAGCAGCAGAGAGCTACAGGAGGGGGCAGAGCATGAGGGGAGGGGGCCGGTGGCAGGGGGGAGGGGGAGCTACAGGAGGGCGGAGCAGTGGGCAGAGAGCTGCTGGAACACAGATTCGTGTGCAGGGCTCCTAGAGGATAAAGAAAAGGACAAAAAGAATGTGGTCTAGCCATACAATGAAATGTTATTTGGCTATAAAAAGGAATGAAGTACTGCCTTAGCCGGTTTGGTTCAGTGGGTGGAGCACAGCTTTGCATATCGAAGGGTCCTGTCAAGGGCACGTACCTTGGTTGGAGGCTCCTCCCTGGGCCGGGGCCCTGGTCAGGGATGGTGCAGGAGTCAACCACGTGATGTGTTTCACTCACATCGATGTTTCTGTCTTTCCCTCTCTCTTCTACTCTCTCTAAAATCAATGGAAAAATATCCTCAGGTGAGGATTAAAAAAAAAAAAAATGGTACTAATAAATGCTTCAACATTAATTACCTTTTGAAAACATTATGCTATGTTTTTTAAAAAAGCCAGACACTAGCCCTGGCTGGGTTTGGCTCAGTGGATAGAGTGCCAGAGTGCCGGCCTGTGGGGTCCTTGGTTCGATTCCCTGATCAAGGGCACATGCCCAGGTTGTGGGCTTGATCCTCAGAAGGGGACCTGCAGGAGGCAGCCAATCAATGGTTCTCTCTCATCAGTAATGTTTCTATCTCTCTTTCCCTCTTCCTCCCTCTCTGAAATAAAAAAAACATATATATATATTTTTTTTAAAAAGCCAGATACTAAACACCACATATTGTATGATTTCATTTATAGAGAATAACCAAAATAGGCAAATCTATATGGACAGAAAGTAAATTAGTGGTTGTGGAGAACAAGGGAGGGGTTGTGTGGGAAGTGACTGCTAATGGGCTTTTTTGGGTGATGAAAATGTTCTAGAAGATAGTGGTAAAGGTTGCACAACTTTGTGAATACACTAAAAACCACCAAACTGTAGACTTTAGAAGGGAAAATTTTATGGTAAATGAATGATATTCAATAAAAAAGGAAAAAGATAAAACTCAAAACAGCATGAACAATGATATATGTGAGAGAAGTACAAAGAATTTTATTTTCCAAATAGAGGTTTCTAGACTCCTGAGATGTCTACAAATGTACTCAATGGGTATTTCACAAATTCTGCCATAATAATGTTTCCAAAAGCAGATTCCATATGCGCAATATTTCCATAGTGAGATGAGCCTGCCTCTCACCTCAGACCCAGCTAGCTCACCTTGGTATCCTGTAACTTTAGAGTCTAAACTCTAAACCCAGGGCAGGAGGAAGGCAGGAACACCAGAGGGCACTTCAGTTTATCCCAACCATCCCATGGTGGAAGAACCCACTGTGCTAACGCAGAACTGGGAGGTGGCAGCCTCCTTGGGGAAGAAGAGCCATTCACTAAAAAAAGGGAGGGAAAAGGCCCTAAATGCTACCATTTCAAACTTGTACCTACAACCCTAACATCCAAAACAAAAGGACAAGCCTGTTCCCACGGTCACTGAGCCCACCAGCTCAGTTCCTCTTTGGTTGTACAACTTGCCTCAGAAACCCATACACCCCAAAGCAGACCCACTTGCTTACAGCCCCAATGGTTGTGAAACACCCTGTGTACAGAGGGTGTGGGGACTGTTGACTTCACAGTTAACACATACGAAACTCAGGTCTATCTGTGACTCCACTTGGCCTATTACACAGGCACTCTTAACAACCTTATTACCACGCCTTTTCACTATTGAATCAGTTTCTCCTGTGCACCCTTTCACACTGGCCTCTGGGTGTCACTGTGTACATTACATCCTCAGTTTCTTTAAATCAGTTACTACCGTGTTTCCCTGAAAATAAGACCTACTTACAGGTTTCCTTCTGAGTGAAATATAAACCCCCCCCCCCCCCCCCCCCCCCGCTAAACATGAGAGATTTGGTCCACTGATTCTGAAAGAAATGGAGTCACAAGAAATTCACCAGGAAATTCAGGAATTGGATTGTTATGATGATGTTACAGAAGATGATGACATGATTGTCATTGAATAAATGAGTAAATTCTTAATACTGTAGGATTCACAGTTTGTCTGGTTTGTGTTGACAACTACCGTACTACCGTACCATATACAGATAATAAATTTCCTTTATTTTCATTTAACAATAAATGTGTACCGTATTCTTCTTCATGGAAAAATAAGACATCCCCTGAAAATAAGACCTAGCGCATCTTTGGGAGCAAAAATTAATATAAGACACTGTCTTATTTTCGGGGAAACGGTATATTCACAGCACTTAAAACCATCTGGCATTATCATGTTCATGTATTTTGTTTATTTGTTCTCTTTCTCCTCAGACTAGAAAAGCTCAAGGGTAGACCTTGAACCTCTAACTCACAACTACATCCCTAGGCCGTGGCACAGAGCAGGCACACAAATATTTGTTGATTATATAAATGTGTTTCAGAAATATGTATTGCTAACTTATTACCTCTTTAAAACCTCTGAACGGGGCAGGAGTCTCTCATGCAATTTTATAAATGCCACTTTATTGAACTTTTTCCCTATGGCAAGAGAGGGTGTGCCTTTTCCGGTTAAGTTCTTACGCCACTCTTGATCTGAACTCGGTCCAGGAAAAAATGGGTTTTAACACGCCACTTTGAGGATTTCCCCCCACTCATGATTCAGACTGAAATTAGACAGCACAAGGCTGTGAAATCCTTTTTACCTGGTCTCTGAGGTTCTCAATAAGGAATCTCTCATTAAACAGAAAGATAAATTATCCATTGGTTAACAGAAGGAAGGAAACTTGTTATCAGCCAATAACCTACCCTTGTTAGGAGAAAACCAACACCAAAGAATTTAAACAAGAACTTTCCTTTGTCAAAGTCAAATATCACACCCTTTTCTCCGGGTCTTCCTTTGCATTCACTCTCAGCAGATTATTAGCTAAGGAAGCAACATTCAAGACGACCCAGAAAGTCACTCTGGATTGAATGACTCAAATTTTGGTTCTGTCTTGACAAGCAGAGTGTGAACTGAGCCTTTGGAGGAAAGGCCATTGATTCCCAGATCTATTTCCAGGACTTTGTACCAGGAGCCAAGGTCTGACCCACTCTCCAGGCACACCGCACCCTTAACCACACACAGGCTTTATCTCAACGAGCTCCATCCATCCTAACCACCTTCATCCCTAACAGCTGTGTGGCCCCTGCAGGCGCACAGGCAAGCGGGGCTAGTATAGTGTTTCTGTTTATTTTTAAACATAGTCCAGACCACCTCCCTCATAATCACTGGAGTGCTTATAAAACTGAGAATTCCTGGGTATCGCCTAGCAGTAAGGGATTAGAATCTTCAGGAGTGGGGCCCCGGAAACTACAGTACTTTCAACAGGCCTCCCTCTCCTCAACCCCCTCCCCCCAAACAATGGGATAAAAGCTCCCCAGGAAAAGCAGTTGGCAGAAAGAAGACAAGAAAAATAATCAGGGGAGGGTCTGGGGGGCGGGAGATGGGGGTGGGGATGGGAAAGGGCATGTTCGGGGTAAGCACAGTCGAGATGGGTGCGCGGAGGGCCAGGGGGAGCAGAGGTGCGGACGGGGCCCAGGACAGGAGCTGACCCCGGTTTGAGGCTGGGAGGCTGGTCAAAGGTGAGCTCGCTCCCACGGACTGGTCCGGAGAGTGGGGAGGCGGAGACAGCAGGATCTGGACGTAAGAGGGAGGAGCAAAGGCGGGAATAATGGGGGGCTCTTCAGAGAGCTGGGAAGTGAACACTGGAAAATGGGGGTCACAGACAGCGGAGACCAGAGCAGGAATAGGAACCAGCAGAGGCGGTAGCCCGAGACCTTCCCTCCGACCCAATGCCTCCCTCAAAACGCCAGGCCCTGACAAGCCTGAGTGCAGGGCCAGGGCCGCGGAAGGGGAACTTTAGGGGAGACAAGCCCAGTCAGGGACACCCCTCAAGCCGGAGCTAGGGGTTCCGGAGACGGCTCGGGGCAGGCATGGAGTGCCGGAAGATCTTGGGATCCCCCGGAGAACCCGGCTCCAGCTCCGGCTCCGGGAGTCTCCTTCACTCACCATCGCTGCCGCCATCTTGGGTCCACGTGTCGGCGTGATGACGTCAGCGGAAGTGGTGTTTCCCCCAGTTTCGGAGTTCGATTCTGTGAGGCGCCGCTCAACTTCAGTCGCTCCTGTAGTTGCGGGATGGAGGAGCGAAGTAGACTCAGCTCCTGATCCGTAGCCTGGTCTGGGCAGTCAAGTCGCTGCTTAGGGGAAGAGAGTTCGGCGTAACTTTCGGAGCCATGTTAGCTCCTGGCAGAGACAGCTACTCCCTCTTCCCCACTGCATTGTGGGTAATGAGGGTGGTGCCTAAACGCAAGGGTTCTCGGGGCACCATCTTTACTAATGGCCAGAGAACCGTTGCCAGGGTTACCTGAGGCCTTGATTTAGGTGAGAGGCGGATACCAAGATTCCAATAGCAGGGATCTACTCTGAAAATAATTTGTAATTATGTATTTAATTACTTAATTATTCTATATCCTCTCCAATAGACTGTCATATCTATAAGGTAGGGTCCTGTTTTATTAGTTAACCTCACTCCATTTTCATCTGTAAAATGGGAAGGGGATTATGGTAATACCGTCACCATAATTTTGTGATGAAGATGTAATGACATAAGGTCACATAGTTATCATTATACTCTTTTGTATTTTCCTTCAGGCATATGCAAGTTGCCCAATACAATGCACTATTTGTTAAAGGAATGAATGAAAAGCAACATATTTAGTGGAGGAAGACATCTTTGCATGTGCACTTCACCATGTGTTAGGTAAGTGTGTGACTCTTGTTACCGCAAAGGTGACCTGTCCCTGCGTGGGTTCTTGACTTTGCACAGGAAAGATTTCACAGCAGGAATCCAGGTGATTTTTAAAGAATGTTTATTAAAGCTGGCAACAGTGAAACAGGGAAGGACCTAGAATAGAAGAAGCAACAGGAGAGGGAGTAACTAGGTGGAGAAATGAGCCTGGGCTGGGCTGCTTTAGCTCACTAGGAAGTCAGAGAAAAGGGGGCATTTGGGACAAGCTCAAGGGTTAGCTGGGGAGGAGCTGTCGCTGCCCTTGGCTTCCTGGTTGCAAGCCTTCTGGAGTCCCTTACAGTGTAGGAGATGCATGCCTGTGGGAAACACGAAGGGGCTGGGAAAGGCTGGACATGCTCCTGGGAGGGAGAGGGAGTGCACTGGGACCTTCAGTTTGAGGTTTTTTTTGTTTGTTTTTTTATAATATATTTTATTGATTTTTTTTTACAGAGAGGAAGGGAGAGAGCCAGAAACGTCGATGAGAGAGAAACATCAACCAGCTGCCTCCCGCACACCCCCCACCAGGGATGTGCCCGCAACCAACGTACTACATGCCCCTGACCGGAATCGAACCCGGGACCCCCCAGTCCGCAGACGGACGCTCTATCCACTGAGCCAAACCGGCCTCGGCGAGGGTTGTTTTTTTTTTTAAAGGCTGGGAGTTAAGGGGAGGTCTCATAGATTATTCCTTAGGTTTAGGCTGATGTGCCAAAATGAGATTTATTCTCTTAAGTCCATCTGCCCTTGGGTATGGTTGGCAAATAAATGGCACTTGGATTTCTGCTATCTCCCTGAGTAGAAATGAGCACCGTTGTGGTAGATTGTCCAGAAAGATGGCTGCCAACAAGTCCGCCCATTTTTTCATGAGCATGCTGTTTTTCCCTTCAAGAGGCAGATTTTATTTATCCTCCCTTTGAATCTGACTGGTCATATCACTTGTTTTGACCAATAGAATGTGGTACAAATGACTGCCAGTTCTGGGTCTTAGTGTTAAGAGGTTTGGTAGCTTCTATCATATTGGGTCTAAAGAAGTCTGGCTACCCTGCTGGAGAGCCACAAGGAAAAGGAGGGAGCCAGCCAACTCCTCAAGACATCTAGAAACTTCAGCTGAGCACTAGAATTGTGAATGAAGTCATCTTGGAATGCTGGCAGCTGAGGGTTTTGTGTGTGTGTGTGTGTGCGCGTGTGCGTTTTTGCAGTTTTAGAAAAAGAGCCCTCAGGCACAGTGATACAGATGATGACAGCTAAAAGTCTAGGCTACTTTAAGGGATACTGACAATGCATGCCACACCCTCTGAGGTACAAGTCTGAAGGATTGTCCTAGCTGTATGGTGGCAATGCCTCAAATATCTTGAGATCCAGGCACTGTCCTGCTTTGTCATCCCTAGAGTTAATTCATTTCCCTCAGGGTTCAAGATGGCAGCTAGAGCTCCAGCCTTCTCATGCACATTCTAGACAGCATGATGGAGGAAGAGATGAAAAATAAGGGGCAAAGAGTCCACATCTTTTAAAAAAGGATCCTAAAGGTGCTATACTACACTTCCCTTTACAACCCATTGATCAGAATGTAAGCACATGACCACACTTTGCTGCAAAAGGGAGAGGGAAATGTAGCATTCTTTCTAGATGGTCACATGTCCCTGATAAAAATTCTCTTTCTCCAGGAGAAGGGGAAACATGGGGGTGGGGATAACTAGTAGTCATTGCCAACCTTCAAAAGGGAAGGGATGCAAACAGAATGTAAGTCAATATAGCCTTACGTCAGATATACTGTGATGAGGACAGACCCATGACAAAATTGAGGGCCCAGGTTGGGGAATAAGGAGGCAGTTTTTTCAAATCGGGGGAAAACTGTGCTTTCTCTATATTTATAATGAAAGCCACATGAACAGATTGAAGCAAGTCATGAACAATGGGGCACCTTTCAGGGGAGAACTGCACATGGAGCCCCAAAGAATTGGTGACACAAAATTTATCCCCATGTTTTGTTTTCTTTCTTTCTTTCTTTCTTTATTTACTAGACCTTATGTTTTAGATTTACAGAAAAATGAGTGGAAAGTACAAAGTTCTCATATCCCCCCTCATCCAGTCCCTAGTTTCCCATATTATTAACATCTTGCCTTAATATGGTATAAATGGTACAATTAATGAGTCAATATTGATACATTATTATTGACCAAAGTCCATAGTTTATATAAGTGTTCACTCTGTGCTGTACATTCGGTAAGTTTTAACAGATATATAGTGATATGTACCTGCCATTAAGAGTACAGAATAGTTGCACTGCCCTGAAAATCCCTTATGCTCTACCTATTCATCCCATCCTCCCTCCCCTCCAAATCCGTGGCAATTGCTGATTTTTAATGGTCTCTATAGTTTTACTTTTTCCAGAATGTCAGATATTTGGAATGTACAGCATGCAGCCTTTTGAGATTGGCTTCTTTCACTCAGCAATATGCATTTAAAGTTCTTCCATTAAAAAAAAAAAAAAAAAAAAAAAAAAAAAATATATATATATATATATATATATATATATATATATATATATGTTTTTATTGATTTTTAGAGAGAGGGAAAAAGAGAGGGAGAGATAGAAACATTGATGTAGAGTGAAACATCAATCGGTTGCCTCCTGCACACCCCCTATTGGAGATTGAGCCTGCAACCCGGCCATGTGTCCTGATCAGGATTCGAACTAGTGATCTCTTAGGTGCATGGGTTGATGATCAATCACTGAGCCACACTGGCCAGACTTCCATGTCTTGATAGCTTATTTATTTTTATCATTGAACAATATTCCCTTATATGAATGTACCACAGTTTGTTTATCCATTCACCTGTTGTTTTTTTAAAAATTAATTTTATTTATTAATTTGAGATAGATAGGAAGGGCAGTGGGAGAGAAACATTGGTTTGTTATTCCACTTATTTATGCATTCATTGGTTGATTCTTGTTTTGAATACTGACTGTGATAGAACCCACAACCTTGGCTTATCCAGATAATGCTCTCGCCCACTGAGCTACCGGGCCAGAGCTATCCATGCACCTATTGAAGGATATCTTAGTTACCGGTACTTACAAGTTTTGACAATTATAAATAAAGCTACTACAAACATTAGTGTGTAGGTTTTTGTGTGGGTATTTGCATTGCTGAATTGTATAGTAAGAGTATATTTAGTTTTATAAGAAACTGTCAAATATTTTCCAAAGTGACTGCTCCATTTTGCATCCTCACCAGCAAAGAATGAGATGTCCTGTTTTGTTTTTCCATATCCTTACCAGTATTTGGTGTCCTCAGTGTTTTAGATTTTGGCTATTCTCATAGGTGGGTAGTGATACCCATTGTTGTTTTAATTTGCATTTCTCTGATGACATAGATGTGGAGCATCATCTCATATGCTTATTTGACACATGTATATATCTTCTTTTGTGAGGCATCTGTTCAGCTCATTTACCCATTTGTTAGTTGGGTTGTTTTCTATGATTGAATTTTAAGACTTCTTTGTATATTTTGGATATCAGTCCTTTATCAGATAGGTGTTTTGCAAATAAGTTCTCTTATGTCAGAACTGGTCTTTTCATTTTCATTTCTCTGTCTCTCTTAGATCAGTTTTTTAAATTTTAATGAAGTCCAATTTGTCAGTTTTTCTTTCATGGATCATGCTGTTGGTGTTCTATCCCCATGTTTTCACCTGTCCTTCCTGTGACCAGAGGGAAATATCAGAGTGTAGGGCACTGCAGGAGGGCATGAGTTGACTCTTGGGTCTTGTCCATTAAGCAATAGGCTCTAATTCTTTTATTTAAAAAATATATTTTATTAATTTTTTTACAGGGAGGAAGGGAGAGGGATAGAGAGTCAGAAACATTGATGAGAGAGAAACATCAATTAGCTGCCTCCCATACACCCCCCCACTGGGGATGTGCCCGAAACCAAGGTACATGCCCTTGACTGGAATCAAACCTGGGGCCCATCAGTCCGCAGGCCAATGCTCTATCCACTAAGCCAAACTGGTTAGGGCAAATTCTTAAGATCATGTTTCAGTCAGCTATTTCTGTAGTAATGCTATGTAACAAAACAATCCTAAAACTTAAAGGCTTATAATATTAAGCATGTATTCCTCTCTCATGTCCACAGGTCAGCTGGAGTTCAGTTGATTGAAGCTGGGATCAGCTGGATTTAACTCCAAGCTGCAGGTTGGGTTCAGATCTGCACCACATGTCATTCGTCTTTCTTGGAACATGTTCTTTTCAGGGATAAAAGGCTGGAAGGGAAGCCAGCCCCACAAGCACATTGTAAGTCTCTGCTTACTACACATCTTTTATTATCCCATTGGCTAAAGCAAGTCTCATGCCTAGCTCAACATTAGTGGTCTAGAGAAGGGTACTCCTCCTATGGATTACTGAACAGCAATTCAACGTACCACAATCATGAGTGCAGATTCCTATCACGGAGCCCTGTGCTCTGCTTCAGATACCCAAAGATGCATCCCAAACAAGAAAACAAGAGAAAAATGGAATTACCAACTAGGTAAATTGAAACACTGATAGCTTTATTATACACTGTTTTTATATCCAGTTTCTAAGATTAAGACTCTGTGCTACACAGGGGTACAGAATCAGTTCCGTATAAGGTTCCAAGGGACCCTGGTGGGTGCTGTGATGTGGATCCTTCAAGGAATGCAATAATATAGAAAGGCATCATTTGTGCCCATCCCTCTGTTATCTCTTCTCATTGCTTCCCTCACAACAAAAGCTGACTTTCAGCTGTGACAACCTGCCTCCATGTCTTCTCTGCTTCCTTCCCAGGTCTCCCTCCTGTCCACTGAGAGCTTCCCACGCAGGCAACCAGATGCCTCGCAGCAGCCACATCTCCAGACCCCAGGGTTCCTGCAACGGTGGATACCATCTTCGCAGCCATAGTAGCTCCTTGGCCATGGGCAATGCCCCCAGTGCTGGTAGAGACCCACCAGCTCGTGTAGCAGTGTGGGTTGGCCAGAGAGTCAGGGTCCCAGAGCATGAAAAGTCATTCCTGTCACCTGGCAGACCCAGCTTCTTGGAGACAGAAACCCATCCAGAGTCCCAGTGCCAGTGTGATAGGCACAAAGGTCCCCACACACAAAGGTCCATATCCTCATTCTCAGAACTTGTGAAGATGTCACCTTATATGGCCAAAGGGACTTTACAGATATGATAAGGATCTTGCAATGGGAGATTAGTCTGGATTATTCACGTGGGTCCAGTGTCATTACAGGGGCCCTTAGAAGTGGGAGAGGGAGGCAGGAGGCTCAGAGGCAGAGATATGATGACTGAAGTCGTTTGGAGTGAAGAACAGGAAGGAACTGGGCAGCCTCTAGAAGCTGGAATAGGCAAGGAAATGGATTCTCCCCCGGTGCCTGCAAAAGGCACGTGGCCCTGCCCACCCGTTTCACGCTTCTGGAACTGTAAGGTAATAAATTTGTGTTGTTTTTAAGCCACCAAGTTTGTGGTGATTTGTTGCAGCAACAAGAGGAAACTAACACAGTCAGCAGCTATTTGGGGCAATTTGAATATCATACTCCACTTCTCTTTGTCCTCCTGGTCTCAAGGAGGGGTCTTCCCCATTTCTGACTTGTCCAGCAAAAAGGCAAATAGATAGTCAGGAGCTAGAAGAAAAGCTAGCCTGTCAGTAAGCCTTTAGCACTTGTATCTTTTATTTAAATATTTATTTCATTATTTTTAAAGTTTCCTATTCAAACCATAGCTGTAACTGGTATCCAAATGTCCCAGGCAACAGAAATAGAACTTGGGGTCTCCTGAGGATGGCAGACTGTGGATTGCTAAGAGTCAGAGAGAGATTGTCCAGTCCAGCCCACCCACCTGACGAATGAAGAGCTGCGGCTGGAGTGAGGGTGGGTGTCTGGGAGTGAGGGGGGTGAGCGGACATCTAGCAGATGGCGCTGGAGACACCTCACAGGCATCGCCTCAGCACCTGGCCCTGCCCTGGTCCCCCCATCACGGCTGCTGCTGGTACTGGCTCTCAGTGGCCGTGTAGAAGTCGTCCAGCACACTCTGGATGTACTCGAAGGTGGGCCGCTCCTCGGGGCGGTTCTTCCAGCAGCGAGTCATGATGTTGTAGAGCTCCTCGGGGCAGTGCTCTGGCCGGGGCATGCGGTATCCACGTTCCAGCGCCCGGATCACCTCTGGGTTTGTCATCCCTGAGAAGGAGCCATGGGATTAACAAGGAAGGGATTGGCAATGGGCGTCCTGGGGAGGCAGGCAAAGTTGCCTCCCCAGCAGCCATCACTCCCCACCTCCTGTGGGAGCTCCGCCTCTCTGACTGTGAAACCCATAGACTCCCCTGATGAGGGCAGGGGCATGGCACCCAAGGTTGGCCAATGGGACGCCCAGGGGGAGTCTCCAGGGAGACTTCCAAGCAAGGTTTTCCTCCCTGAGATAACGACTTTGTGTGGAATTGGAGGAGAGCCAAAAAGGAGACCCCTTTACACAAAGCGGGTCTTTAGAAAGATAGTCCACTTACTCCTTCCTTCGGGCACTGTGAGACCATGTGGTCCTTGGAGCTGCAGCAGCCATCGGACTATGTGAGGAAAACGGCCACGGCCACAGCCAAACTAACCCAGAGTCCTGAGAGCTGCTGAGCGGCTGAACTAATCAGTCACCAATGTCAGACTCCTTATGGAGAACAATAACTTATTGTTTCTACCACTCCTTTGTCTGTTATTTTGTTTATTCATCCTAATGGATACAGGGTGCTAGAACCGTTCCTGGTTTTTCTTGGCCTTCCTCAAGACAAAATAAGAGGCCAGACTTGATGCACCCTATGTGTGAATGGGACCATTTCCTTATTTAATTGAATTTGTTAGTTATCTTTAAGAACAACCATTTAACTGTCTATGGCCCCCAATTTTATATCATCAGTCTTGAACTCCAAACTTATATATCCAAGTGCTTTCTTGAACATGTTTACTTGGATGTCTACTAGTCACCTCAAATTTAATGGGGCTAAGACAGAATTCTTTAAGACAGAATAGACCATTGCCCCCCACGTTGCTCAATTAAAACCAGAAGAACCATCCTTGATTCTTCTCTCTCCTTCCACATCAGCAACTCACATCCTTTCTTCTTTTGAAATGTAGCCTCAATCCATCAACTTACATCTCTGTTGCTATCACCACCTGTGCCCATGCCACTGCCGCAGCTCCCACCTGTCCCCAAATCCGCTCTCCACGCTGAGCCATGCACCACTTAAACATGAGACGATGCCACCTCCCAGCTTCCGCGTGCTTATACTAACACCCACTCACTCTTCTCCATGACCATGGGCCCTGCCGGATCTGGCCGCTGCCAACCTCATCATCTCCCATCTGCTGCCATCCCTGGCCTCCAGCTGCCTGGCTTCCTTGCTGTCCTTCAGGCCCTATAAACTAGCAGTGCCTTCTGCCTGAAATCTTTTCCCTAGATCCTCACCCAGCTGTTTCTCAGCTCAAATGTGACCTGCTCTGACAGGTACTCCCTGTCCACAGGAGCTCCAGGTCACTCACTCTTAAATGCCTCCGCTTCATTTTCTTCTCAGCAGTGATCTCCTTGGGAGTGTGTGTCTGGTTGGCGTGTGCTCAGGCTAGACCGTGAGCTCTTTCAAGCAGGGGCCTTGTCTCTTACTGTATCCTGGAGCCTCACACAAGGAAGGCATGTCTATATCTCTTGTTCCTAACCTTCACAACCACTTGTGTAAGGTAAATATCATTACTGGATAGGACACCTATGGTTTTTTTTTTACAGGTGAAAACTCTGGGATAAAAGTGAAGTGAATTTGTCAAAATGTAATAGTTGATGAGGACACCATTCAAATTCAGGACGGTTTATTAAAAAAATGAGACTCTCTATATCTGCTTTGTCCTCTTTTCCCAGTGTTTTGGCTAGGGATACCCATGGAGAGGTTCCAACCAAAAAGGAACAGAGCACAACAATATTTACTGAGTGCTAGGCAATCTGTATGTTGCGTGTATCTTTATATACCCCTGTGTTCTACTTAGTCTAGGGTGCTGCCCCCAGGCATGTAGGTAAACTTGTCTGTTCCACAAGCAGCTAGGAAGCATCCACATGTCCTAACAAACATGAAATAAAGTACACAAACCCTTCCTATACAACTCGATGCATTGTCGACATGGGTAGACCTTATAATCCCCACTCAGATCAAGAGAGAGAACACCCGCAGCACCTACAAATGTGGCGGACACAGAGGTAGGCAGTGCAGATACACCAGTGAGGAACACAGACATGATTTCTGGCCTCACGGAGATCAGAGTCTGATGGGGAAAATATTAAACAAACACGTGGTTACCAAGTGTGATGGAAACAGGGTAGTGTGTTTTGAATGAGAAGCATGGGGGGACGTGTGGTACTTTGGATGACTGGATGGTGGGATACCACAGAAAGTGAAGCTGGAGAGGTAGACAGGGGCTGGATCATGCAAGACCTACAGGCATAATGAGAAGTTTGGGATTTTGTCCTAATTGTGGGAGAGCATGGAAGAGTTAGAGATGGAGAAGGGACAAGATCTGAGTCACAATTTTAGAAAACTTGTTCTGGCTAAACATAGAGAATGGCCTATAGGAGACAGGGGAGAAGCAGGGTGCTGGGTAGGCAGGCTGGTTATCGAGGTGAGAGGTGATGTTGGCCGGGATGAGCAGTGGAGACCGTGGAGTTAGAAGGGGAAGACTTGGGATGTGTTCTGGAGTCAAATACCAGAACCTGTGACTGCTTGAATGTGGTAAGGCATGAGAGAAAAGGAAGGACGGAGGAAACCCCCAGATTTCAGGCTTAAGAAATCTGGTGGATGGTGATCCCTTTAACTGAGATGGAGCAGGTGCGGGCAGGTTGGGGAGGAGGACGAAGAACTCAGTCTGAACGGACACGGACAAGAGAAGAAAGCCAGCCTGGGCCCTGGAAGCAGCCCCGCGCGGAGGCCCCTTCACTACCTGGGTATGGGATGCGGCCGTAGGTGACGATCTCCATCAGCAGGATACCGAAGGACCAGACGTCTGATTTGATGGTGAAGGAGCCAAAATTGATGGCTTCCGGAGCTGTCCACTTGATGGGGAACTTGGCCCCTGCGGAGTTGGAAAGAGCAGAGTCGGGGAGGGTCTGGGGAGCAGTGGGCTAGGTCTCTGCTGGGGTGAGGGAACAGGACAGCACAGCTGCCCACATCTGCCCCCTGCAGACCTGCAATTTCCCTAAATCTACATCTGGCCTCTAGAAGCAAGGAACGCCCATGCTGAGGACAGATGGCTAAAGTGGGGAGGAGTGGGCAGAGGGTCTGGGTGTGGCTGGGTAGCCAACTGCCCAAGGCCACCTTGTTAATTCAGCGGTTACCCCAGCAACCTACACCTCCTGAGGAGTGGCGTCCTAGAGGTCACAAAATGTTCGGGACAGCAGGACATCAGTTTGCAGCGAATGCCTTAGCACCCTGGCGCTGGGTGTCTCCGTTCTACTCTTTCCTTCCACCTCGTCTGGGATGGGTTTAGTTAATCCTTGGTTATTGATTTCCATCTTAATTCCATTGTGGTTGGAGAATATGCTCTATAAGAATACATGTCCTCTGAAGTTTGATGAGCCTACTTTATAGCTGAGTGCATGGTCAAGTTTTGAAAATGCTGTTGTTTTTTCTTTTCATTTCTTCCCTCTTTGACATTGAGAGAATTTTCTTTATTCCTGGTTTTCCTCTCCTGTTTTAGAGATTATACGGTCTACTCTTAAGTCTTTTAGTGGGTGCCCTTAATTTAGATTGTTTTTATCATGTCCTAACAAACATGAAATTTTTTCCCACCCCAGCCCTCGGCAATCATTAATCTACTTTCTTTATAGATTTGCTTGTTCTGAACATTTCATATAGATGGAATCATGTAATATGTTACCTTTGTATCTGCCTTCTTTCACTAACATGATGCTTGGAAAGTTTACCCATGAGTAGCATGTCTCTCATTCCTTTATGAATGATATTCCATTGTATGGATAGACCACATTTTGTTTATCTGTTTATCAGTTGATGGACATTTGGTTTGTTTCTGCTTTTTGGCTGTTACAAATAATGATTCTATGAACTTTCATACAGGAGTTTGCTTGTTTCAGAATTTTATATAAATGGAACTGTCCAACATCTACTTTCTTGGTCTGATGCCTTTCATTTTGATATTACGTTTATGAGAGTCAACCACTTTGTTGCATGTAGCAATGGTTTGTAATTTTTCATTGCTGCATACATTATATTGTATGAATATACCACAAGTTACATATTCATTCTCCTATTTATAGACATCTGGACTCCTCTGTTTTTGCCTATTATCCGTAAAGTTGATCTTACGCTTAATTTCAACATGTATACACCTAACTTAATCTAAGTCAGAGTCTCTGGGGGGTTCGGGGCGGGGACACTATGTCCAGAAAGACTCTGTCAAGTTGAATAACACATAGCAAATACTGGGGTCGACCTTTGCATTTACTGATCACTTTCACAGGCTCAGCTCTCACCACTCACCACCAACCCAAGTGGGCCCCACGGGTCCCTTGGCAGCATCCCCTACCTTCCCGGGCCGTGTACTCGTTGTCCTCGATGACCCTCGCCAGGCCGAAGTCAGCAATCTTACACACCAGGGTCGCAGAGACCAGGATGTTGGCGGCTCGGAGGTCTCGGTGAATGTAGTTCCTCTGCTCGATGAAAGCCATGCCTTCGGAAATCTACAACCAAAACAGAGATATCCTTGTCCTCAGATCTGGCCCAGCCCAAGATGAGTTCCACCCAAAGGCAGAAGAGGAGTGTCCAAGTGTGAGGAAACAGGAAAACATGTGTTCCAGCTCCTTCTTGTTGTGTGGGAGAGTCCTAAGCTCAGACTGGCATTTCCCTGTCTACCCTTCCAGGTTGGGAGGATCCGCAGGGCCTGAGTTAGTGTGGGGCTTCTCTAGGGTTCTGGGAGTTCCGGAGAGCACTTTGAGGAGAAGCAATGACATTGTTCTCCGGGACCTGTATACCCACTCACACCAGATACTATGAAGAGCTTTCCTCCCCTACACTCTTTCTGGGGACAATCTAGGCCCACATCATATTATGCTGTATCTCTCTTTTTAAAAAATACATTTTTATTGATTTCAGAGAGGAAGAGAGAAGGAGAGAGATAGAAACATCAATGATGAAAGAGAATCATTGATTGGTCACTTCCTGCAATACCTCCCACTAGGGATCAAGCCCACAACCCGGGCATGTGCACTGACTGGAAATCGAACCGTGACCTCAAGGTTTACAGTTGATGCTCAATCACTGAGCCATGCCAGCTGGGCTCTGCTGTATCTCCTATGCCATCTTTATCCCCAAATCTCACGAGGGAAAATTCATTTGTTCACAGATATCTACTGAGTGTCTTGGGGGTGCCAGACATGTTACTTGAATATGTGCTAAGTCAGGCAAAACCCCTGTAGGTGGTATTAAGCACCATAAGGAAGGATAAAGAGGGTAACAGGAGAGGAAACCTAGAGGGCTTTTGGAATGAGTGGTCATGGAAGGCTGCTTTGAGGAGGTGAAGATCTCAGTGATGATAGCGTGTCAAATAAGAATGTTCTGGCAGAAATAACATCATGTGCAAAGGCCTGGGGGTAGGAATGAGCGTGGATGTTTGTGGAACAGGTCGCTGAGAAGAAGTTGCCACAGGGACCATGGGGGGAGTTGAGAGAGAAGTGGTTGATTGTGAAGGACCTTGTAGGCTTGGAGAGGAAGTTGGACTGTATTCTGAGTGTGATGTGAAGATAGTAGAAGGCTTCGAGGAGGAATGTGATGCTGTCTGATGTATATTTTAATGTCATCATGGCTGCCAAGTGAATAATTAGACTGTGTTAAGGATTCTTATTCATAATGGGGCCTGGGTGTTTCTGATGGGAAAATGTAGTATTTTTCCTTAGAGACATCTTTTACATAGAATAGTTGTGCATTCACCCTTAGAAAGAGGTTTATTATTAACTCTCAGACACCCTCTAAACAGCACTTGTAATTTACAAACTGGTCTTCATGCTTCTTGAGTCAGGTGCTTTCACAATCTGTGTTTTCCAGATCATAGCACCAAGAAAATTCTGAATGTCAGACTCAAACCAGTCTGTGGGTGCTCAATCCCAGTGCACCATGCTGCCTCTAATTACTGCAGATCCCCAGTGTCCTGGAAGACTGCAGCTGGTGTAACCTGGTGAGATTATTTGGAAGGGATAGGGGGCCTCGCCAGACAGACCAAACCAGTGCACCAGCCTGCTCAAGGTCGGAGGAAAAGTGGACAGTGCACTTACCGGAAGTGGACAAGAGGGGGCACCCATGACTATTGAAACTGAGGTCTGAGGCTGCAGACCTTCCAACAAAAACTCCAAACTTTTAAATTTTGTTTGGGATAGCCTGTCAGGGAGTCAGGTAAGACAGGTCTTGCCTGGGTGTGTGTGTGGGAAATGTATAAGGAGTCCAAAGAGGCACAGTTAACAACAGTTATTACCTTAATGGCAGACATCATAGTTTATTCATGTACTAGTGGCCTGGTGCACAAATTCATGCACATTGAAAGGAAATTAATTAGAAGAAATATTTTAATATTGCTATTCGCCCTTTCTCTATAATAGAAGTCTCAACCAAATTCATGATTGACAATGACAGATTGAAACACACGTGTGTGATTGGCCCCAGTGAGAGCTTTATATGAATCTTGCATGTGTGAGTCAACTTAACCTTTTATATATTGTATATATAGAATATACTTGCTTAATTAGACCTGCTTTCTGATTTAGTTGAACTTTTTCCAGCCCAGTTATGCACCCCAACTTCTCTTTCAGGTAATTGTCAGCAACACAGCAGTAAATATCAACACAGAGCACTTTATTATTGTAGATCACGCAGGGAGAACGAAGGGTAAAATATTTAACTGCAGCAATATTTGACTATATTCTGTGCAATGAGAAAACCTGAAGTCATTTTCAAGGTCCACCATTTCTTACTTCTTTTCAGTCAAATCAAGAGTCTAAGCTTTCTCAATCTCCGTTTTCTGGCTAATAAAAATAGAATTCCACCGAGTCTCCTATCTACCTACTCCAGGACTTCTGTGAGGATCAAATGAGATGAGGCACAGGAAAACGCTGCACAGACATTTGGTTAACATGTAAAATATTTGGCCCTAGCCAGTTTGGCTCAGTGAATAGAGCGTTGGTCTGTGGACTCAAGGGTCCTAGGTTTGATTCTGGTCAAGGCTGTGTACCTTGGTTACAGGCACATACCCAGTAGGGAGTGTGCAGGAGGCAGCTGATCAATGTTTCTCTCTCGTCGATGTTTTTAACTCTGTATCCCTCTCCCTTTCTCTCTGTAAAAAAATAATAAAATATATTTTAAAAAGTGTAAAATGTTTGCATCTGGCTATAAAGCAAGTCGTGTTCCTGGGATGAAGAAACTGCAAGGAGGCTAGTCCCCAGGGAGAGGAAGCCAGGCATCCATACGTGATGTCATTAGCTGGATGGACTTAGCATATTAGCCTTCTACATAGATTATAAGATGATACTTAACAAATAGTATTCTCTGCTTTAGGGGAGGCACTATTTTGATCAGCTGTGTTTACAGGTGAGAATGCTGGAAGCCAGAGAAATAAGTAACAGGACTAAAATTCCAACAACCATGCTCAGGGTCCATGCACTTAGCCATTAATCTACTGGAATTTTTGGCCATCTGTTTAGCACAGAGCAGGCACTAATGCTGGTAGTTACCACTGGCAGACCATCATGCTATTGACTTTCACATGAGTTCAGTGGGGCAGGTAGGACAAAACCCACATAGAACAGTAGGGGATGATGCCTACGTGCCTCTGGAATTGGGCCAGTTCTTTTTGAGCCCCATCAAGCTATTTCAACCTCTATGCCTCACATTTCTTCTCTGTAAAATGGGACAACAATAGAACCTGCCTCTGAGGGCTTCAGTAAGGATTAAATCTGCAAGCCTACATCAAGAACTAAGAATGGTCTCTAGCATGTTAAGTATTTACTTCAGTGGTGACAAATAGTGCTCTCTGTTGAGGAAAGTGGCACTCAGAAAGGTTACCCAACTTGCTCAAAGCTACACAGGCAGAGCTAAGATCAAAATCAAAATGCTATGCAACTCCTAAGCCCAATACACAAGTATTGCTTTTCAAGGTTTTGTTAACGGAATGAATTAAGGGATAGGTTTACTGGGCTCAGGGCTGGTCTAAGAATTGGGGGTGGATTAGGTGGTGAGATTTCATGACCAACAAATGGGCTGCCATGATGTCAGGCATTGGAACTTGGGTTTCTCTCAAGGAATCACAGAATCAGAGTGGGAAGCATCTGTAGGATATTCTAGCCCTTCAAACTGAATCCTACTGATACTTTAAGGTAGCCAGGGGTGGGGTAGGAGTATGTATAGGGAAGGAGGGAAAAAGAAAGGCCACATATGAGGTCCCACCTTACAATCAGAACAGCTGTTTGACCTATTTTGAAATACTCAGCTACTGTATACGATTTCATTGACCAACAGAATTCTGCCTTAAAAAATAAAATAAAAAAGCGTCTGAACTTGAAAACCACAGGTGTGGTCCAGTTCAAATGGAGAGACTGAGACCCACAGTGGATCCAAAGCCATCGGCCAGGTGGCAACAGGCCTCGGGTAACCAGCATTGTGCTCATCTGACTCTGGGACTGGAGGCAAAGACCAGGTTGGCTCCTTCTTGTCCCTGGACCCTGAGGTCACCTCTGCTCCTGGATGCATAGGGCTTGGCGCCTCTTTTCCTCCCTTGGCTTTGTTTTCCCATCTGTGAAAGGAGCAGAGTGGCTCTTGCCCAAAAGGTTACACAGTTATACAAGCCTTATAAGACCATAGCCCAAGTCACCTGGACTCAGAAATCTGTCTCAGTCAAAGAACCTGTTGATGACCTTACCCAGCAAGGTTTCTCCCAGTTTAATGGCTATAATTTAGCAACACACACTGGACTACTGTTTCTCTAGGAACAGGGCCCATTAAAGTCAAAATGCCAGGCCTTGATTTCCATATGTCTCTGGCATTCCAGGCTCTGAAATGCAAGACTTTTTTTTAATACCTCTGACCTCCCCCAACACCTAGGATTTGCCTACTCAAATGGGCTCTGCCTTAGGCATCGTCAGAAGGTCCAGGTCTAGGCCCTGGTGCAGGTCTCCCTTAATATGCTCCAGGCTGCAAACCACACTCCCTTCATCTTTCCCAGCCCCAGGCCCCAGCTGACCAGGCCCAGTTCTTGTGTTTTCCCTTTGAGCTTTGGCACAGGCCATTTCCTTGGTCTAGAACACCCTTTCTTCTCCTCTTCATCAGACTCACTTCTACTCCTTCTTCAGGACTCAACCCAGAGGCCAATTCCTCTGGGAAGTCTCCTTGGGTTGCTCCTAGTCCAGCTGTGTACGCCCATAGCTCCCCTTTCCTATCTGTTTTCCCTCAAATGGGAAAGAATGAAAGAGGACAGAAATAAAAAGCACTCAACTGAGGGTGAGAGGAGCTGCAGAGCGTGAAGGGAAGATGAGAACGATGGGGTTTTAAGAAGTGTTCCTGTGACTTGTGTACATGATTATTTTGCTGGATAGTACATCCTTTTGACATTGAGCCAGGCCTCTTGGGTCATGGCTCTTGAAGAGATTCAGTTATTTAATATCTGTCTTCCCATCTGGACTGTTCGCTCTGTGAGGACAGCAATTCTTTCCATTTTGTTCACTGCCATACCCATCAAAAGAACACAGTAACTTAGGCAAGCTACTGAACCCCACTGGGCCTCAGTTTCCTCATCTGTATATATCTTCTCGATGCTTTAAGTTTCTCTTAGGTAATGACAATTACCATCCTGTGGCTATACTGTTATATTGGTGACAGCCCCATTCCACACTGGCTCTGAGCTGAGAGCCCTATGACTTACCTTAGCCAATGAGACATTAGCAAGCATCATGCAGGCTAAATCAATCGGCATTTGCACATTAGTGTTTGGCCCCTTGGTATACTCTGTATTGGGACCTCGCCACCAAACCACAAACACTGGCTGGACTACTGAGTGGTGCCACATGGAAAAAAAAAAATCCAGAGGATGAGACATCACCATGGACAGTCTTGCCCTTGGCAAGCTGCCAGCAGAATACAGGCATGTGAGTGACCTCAGTTTCAACACATGGAGCAGGACAACCACAAAGCCAACTCCAGTCAACCCACAGGATAATGAGAAATAAATTATTGTTTCAAGCTCCTAAGCTTTGTTACATAAGAATAGTAAACAGCTTGGCTGGTGTTGCTCAGTTGGTTGAGCACTGTCTCAAGCACTGGAAGGTCACCAGTTCAATTCCCGGTCTGGCCACATGCCCAGGTGGCAGGCTCACACACACACACCCCCCCCCATACCCCCCAGTCAGGGATTCATGCAGGAGGCGGCATCTTGATGTTTCTCTCTCACATAGATGTTTCTCTCTCCCTCTCACTTCTCTCTTTCTAAAATCAATAAAAACATATTTTTAAAAAAAGAACAGATAACAAAAATCCCATCCTAGAAAGCTGAGGTGAGGACTTAATGAGCTAGTACATGTAAGACACATTTTAAAAGTATACTTTTATACAGAGTGCTCAATAAATGTGCTTAGGCCAGTGTTTCTAAGTGGTTAGAGGTCAGCCTGTACACCAAAGGATTGGGATTTCGATTCCTGGTCAAGGGCAAATTCTTGGGTTGCAGGTTCAATCCCCAGCTCCCATTGGGGCACATGTAGGAGGCAACCAGTCTATGGGTCTCTCTCACATTGATGTTTTTCTCTCCCTCCTTTCCACTCTCGCTAATAATTAGTGGGGGGAAATATTCTCAGACGAGGGTTAACAACAACAACAACAACAACATAATGTTATCCAGTATTGTTGCTGTTATTATAACATGTCAATAAGTTTGTGCTGATAAAGAATTACCCTCCCCTCACCTCCCCCCAGCTTCCCCACTAGCCTCTCACCTGGGCTGAGAAGTCAATGAGTTTTGGCAATGGCTGCTTGCTGCCTTCATTACTTTTCAGGAAGTCCAGCAGGCTTCCTGTGAGGGAGGGGGAGCAACAATGAGCTCTCTCACTACTTAGGGTAAAATTGTTCAGAGTAAGGGATTTAAATAAAACATCTGTTTACCATGCCTAGTGTTTGAGAAAAAATAAGCTGAGAGTTTTTTAGGTGACTTTGTGACTGCTAGACTGGTTCTTTGACTGAGATAGCTTTCTGAGCCCAGGCGACTTGGGCTATGGTCTTATAAGGCTGGTGTAACTGTGTAATTAGAAAATGAAAAAAAGTTTTGAGATTTTTAAATCACACTAAATGAGGTTGGGTGATATGTTTCTATTAATAAAAAATGGGAAGGTATTGACCGGCCTTTGGCTCAGTGGTAGAGCATTGACCTCTAGACCAGGAGGTCACAGTTCAATTCTCTGTCAGAGCCCATGCCTGGGCTGCAGCTCCATCCCCAGTTGAGGCGGGGTTGGGGGAGGGGTGTGCAGGAGGCAGCCAATTAATGATTCTCATCATTGATGTTTCTGTCTCCCTCCCTCCCTCTCCCTTCCTCTCTGAAATCAATAAAAATATTTTTTAAAAATGGGCAGGGATTGAAAATGTTTGTGAAATGGTGGCCTTAAAAAGTCCCTGAGAAATTCTAGATCATGGGTGAGCAGGATGGGGACAGCCTGGAGCGGGTGCTTTGTGGAATCTCTTTTCCAGACCATTGGCCCAGGCAGGGAACATGGCCGACAGGGAGAATCTCCCTGGCCTTTAAGGCACACAGTAAATCCATCTCTTCTTCCATCACCCATTGGGGGTCTGCCCTACTCCCCTCTCCTGGTAGCTTCCTGTGCTCCCCTCCCACCGGCATCCCCCCTCACATGATTTCACCACATTAACCAAGAGGACTGGGCAATGGCTGCTTATCCCTGTGGGAAGAGCTCCTGGCCAGACTTGGGGCATCTCGAGGGCAAGAACCAGGTCAAACTGACCTCTGAGTCTTCAATGAACTTGTATGGGCCACAGCCTGCACCCCCAGCCCCCAGACACCGCACCTTTGGCCATGAACTCCGTGATGATGTAAATGGGCTCCTCCGTGACCACAGCATGCAGCTTCACCAGCTTGTCGTGCTGCAGCGTTTTCATCAGGTTGGCCTCGGCCAGGAAGGCCTCCACAGACATGCTCCCTGGCTTCATGGTCTTCACGGCCACCTTGGTGTGCTTGTTGTAGGTGGCTGGAGAGGGCGAGAAGGCAGGAAAGATGGTCAGAGCCCCTGCTCTTCCCCCACCGCCTAGGAAGGCCCAGCTGCAGAACCGCCTCCTCCACAAAGTCTTCTGTGCCCAACGTGGCCCCTTGAGAGGGATGGTCCATGCCTTCCTAGCGGTACGCCCTTGGGCAAGTCATGTATCCTCCCTCATCTCTGGTTTCCTCCTCTGCCAAGTAGGAATGATAAGCCCTGCCTTTGAAAGGCTGTTATAAGGGATTCAGATCCTGTCCCTCGTACACGCAGACCACTTTGCCTTGTCTCTCCCTCTCACATATACCATCGCTTCTTAAAATGCTTTAACCTTAACACGGCGCTCAAAATAAATACCAGCTTCATCATGGTCTACAAGGCCGGCATGATCTGGCCTTGCCCACCTTGCCAGCTTCACCATCCACCAAACTCCCCTTGACTTTTGTGTACAGTCAGCCTGCATGTCACTCAGCTCCTCAGGGACCTAACCACCCCTCCCACCCCAGGAACGTCCCACGTGATGTTCCCTCACCCCATTTCTACTCGGTGGCATAAATCTCTTAATTGCTTGTGTTTCCATTTTTGCCTTGGCTGCCAGGAAGTTTTAATCCAAGTCTGAGGTCTTCCTTTAGTAAGAAGAAACCCTTATATAATATAGTTTTGTTTTCTAACTCATTACTCAGACCTGTCTTCCCTTCTTCTCCATACTTTCTCTGCCACAACCTCCTATTAGGTGCCTGGCATATAGCAGGCTCTCAACAAGGATAGTTGGAATATGTGTATTTAAACATTTTTTTTTTTTTTGGACTAACTTGTTTGCGACTCTGTAAATTGTCTTCAAAACATGGTGGGTGGGAACACAATCGGCTGTACCAGGCATTGCAGTTCTCCAGTTATTAGCGGCAGACAGCAGGGGTGGAGCATGCCTTATGGGTGCCCCACAACACCTTGGCATGGTGCTAGGCACACAGTTACCAACACTGAACTCCCCTGGAGATCTCCAGGCTGCATTTCCCCATTCTTAATTCCCATCATCCTAAGAGGCCTTGGTGATCTCACCCCCAACTGGTAGGCCTCGTGGCTCTGCGTCACGGAGCAGATTCCTCATCTAGGACTCCTGCTTCCCAGGAGGACATTGTTAACTCCACCAGGTGAATGGCCGCAGAGGTACATGGGTGTTTGCATGGCGGGACACTTTGGTTTGCTCTCAGAGGAATTGACACTTTGGTTTGCTCTCAGAGGAATTGCTCCTTTGTGGTTGTTACTCAGATCTCCCCTTCGACCCTTGGTGGCATTCCCACTCTGTCTCGGGCTCTTCCTGGAAGTGATGCCCTCCCTGCTCCCTCCTTCCCACCACCCTCTGGCCTGGGGTCCTTACCCATCCAGACTTCCCCAAACTGCCCGGCGCCAAGCTTTTTCTCCAGCTCGAGGGACTCCCGCGGGATCTCCCAGGCATCTTTCTCCCACGGCTTCTGGGGCTTGGCGGACACGCAAGGCACCATCAGCTTCTGGCAGAGCCCGTCACTCCCTTCTGGAACAGAGCTGTGTGTCAGCGAGGGCGGCCAGCTCTCGGCCAGCCAGAGGCTTCCCCTCAGAGGCTTCCCTGCCCGTTTGGCGGCGTTGGCCACTGCTCCGGGGGGTTGCCATGATCAGGGACATTCCCAGAGAGCAGAGCATGACCAGATGCCACCTCTGCCCTCCTTCTCAACAGGCCTAGGATTCCAGGAGAATCCACAGCAACTATTCGGGGAGAGTCAGAAAGAGCTCAGCAGGCCTCAGAGGGCACAGTGCACCATGACCCGGGTTCCCGGGAGGCAGGTCCACCCTGCTTGGGGTGAGGCCCTGGGCAGGACTTACTCTTGTAGTGGGCCACCAGCTCCTGCAGCGTGCTGAAGGTGTTCCGTGGGGAGATGTAGAAGCCCCCGTTGTCCAGGGTCCGGATCTTATAATGTTTCACTGCGTCCCGATGCTGGGGGTCGTAGTCTCGCACCGACAAAGAGTAGCTCCCTGCATCGGTCAGAGAGAAACTGCTCAGAGTCCGGCCACTCCCGAGGCACCCCTTCCGGACAAAGCCACCCCTATAAAGCCACCCCCGGCACCATCCCGGCAGCCGGGCAGTGGAGCACAAGGGTAAGAGTGAGCTGTGGAATCAGGCAGCCAGGTTCTTGTCCAGGCTTCTCCATGTCCAGCTGTGAGACCTTGGACAAGTGAGTGCATCACTTCTCTGTGCCTCAGTTTCCTCATCTGTAAAATGGGATTGGTTGTGAGACCTCCCTATCTCATCACATTGCCTGATAATTGAAAGAAGTAATGCCTGTGAAGCAGTCAGGATGTAAACGCTCAGCAAACGCTGTCTGTCGTCGTCGTCGTCGTCGTCTTCTTCTTCTTCTTCTTCATCATCATCATCATCATCATCATACAGATAGATAGATAGATAGATAGATAGATAGATAGATAGGGATTGCTGGGTCACCTTTGGTGGTCTCGCTGTCACGGATCATGAAGGAGCCCAGCATCATCATCATCATCATCATACAGATAGATAGATAGATAGATAGATAGATAGGGATTGCTGGGTCACCTTTGGTGGTCTCGCTGTCGCGGATCATGAAGGAGCCCAGCACGTTGCCAGGGGCCAGAAGCTGGCGCTCTGCATCCTTCCGGCTGACGCCCTTGAAGAACCACCTGGTGGGAAGGGGAAGAGACGGCGTGTGAGCCCTGGGCGGGCGGTCCTGTCCCACTGACAGGGCCACCAGGGTACCAAGGGCCTGGTTTCCTGCAGCGCTGACTTTCCTCAAAGACTCTTTTGGGAAAAACAATGATTCTTTTCATATTAATATAGACATTTGACCAGGGTTGAATCCAGCTTGCTGAGACTGACAGAAACTTACGAACATTGGGGAACACAGCCTTACAAATACAAAATGCCCAGAGGTCATTCCAACAGCACCCAGTGAGAGCGGTAAGGTGACGGACAGAGAGGCTGAGTGTAAAAATACAGATGTCTTAACCCAACTGCGGTCAAAATCTTCTGCAAATTTCACAAGAGCACACAACATTCCTGTCAGGGCCTTATTATCCCCATTTTATAGATAAGGAAACTGAGGAACAGAGAGAGCAAGTAACTTGCCTGGCATCACACAGCTGGAAAGTGGTGGAGCCACACTTCAAATCCAGGCAGTCTGACTCTAGAGCCCACACTCTTAACCACCGTGCTACATGGTGCTCCCTCCCCCAACCTCCTTTGATTCCATTTTGTAAAATGATTCCTGCCATGGTGACAGAGTCAAGCAGGATATTTAGTAAGAACCATCTCCCCGGCAATCCCACCCCTGGGAAGTTACCTCGCAGATCTTGCACAAGGAAGAAATGCTAGTGAGAAGCGTGGAAAGGGGAATGAGAGGGAAAGTCACAAAGGGGACCTGCTTTGGACAGGGTGGTCAGAGAAGGCCCCTCTGAGTCCCGAAAGATGAGGAGAAGGAGCCAGCCACGCAAAGAGCCCCAGGAAGAGAATGCCAGGTAGGTGAGGTAGGGCGTGCAAAGGCCCTGAGGCAGGAACAAGGCCGGCCTTGCTCACGCTTTCTTCTGGAGGGCAGGGAAATAGAAGACTTACTCCTCTGTCTCCAGAGAGTCAACGCGGGCAACGTAGTTGCTTGGGATGTAGCCCTCTTTCCGGGTGGCCAGGGACCGAGCCTTCCACCATTCCCCAGACCTAAGAGCAGGAGGGAGCAAAGGGGTCAGTGGGCAGGACTTCCCTAGTCCTCTTGGGCCCTCAGCTTTGGCCTGGAGTACCCCCTGCATACCCATGATTAGGGGTACGGATCTTTACAACAGTCCCCACTGCGCATCTGACGGCCTGAAATCAAGGTTTGTCCCTGCACTCACAGCCTACAGACCTAGATCTGTGGCCCCACTATTGCTCCCTGGTCTTGCGGCCTTGGCCTTCCTAGCCACACCTGCGGTGGGGCCCTGTGCCCATGGCTGGCTCTAGGGGTTCAGCTGCGGCCAAGAGCCAGAGGGAGTGGGCTCAGGAGTCTGACCAAGCATAACCACTGCCATTTTGGGGCCCCACCTCCCCCCATACTGGACACTACACTCGCTGATGGTGAAACTGGAGGAGATTCAAGGCAGCAAACTCAGAAATCCAAAGATTTCTGCGTGCAAAGTCTCCTCCTCAGGGTCTGGCCCACAGGTCAGCTTGCAGCTGGGTCACAGGAGCCTGAGGAAGGCTTCCCTGGGAAGCTCTCTGAGCCGTTCCTCCTTGCCCGGGTGGGAGCCGTTAGTAAGCGCACAAGCCCCTTTATTGTGCCTTCAGCCCTTCCTCCTCTTTTACAATCAGGTCTATTCTCATCAGTCACATATACCCTAGTCCAGTGGTCGGCAAACGGCGGCTCGCGAGCCACATGCGGCTCTTTGGCTCCTTGAGTGTGGCTCTTCCACAAAATACCATGGCCTGGGCGAGTTTATTTGACGAAGTGGCATTAGAAGAAGTTTAAGAAATGTGGCTCTCAAAAGAAATTTCAATCGTTGTACTGTTGACATTTGGCTCTGTTGACTAATGAGTTTGCCGACCACTGCCCTAGCCTAAGGGTCTTGACTGAAGGACAGAACAGAGTGTACTGGGTATTGGGGGCAGGGAGGTCTCGGGGGAGGGGATGAGGACTCACTCCTCCAGGACCACCATCTGGTCTCCCTTCTGGAAGCTGAGGTCCTCATGGTGAATGGCCTCGTAGTCATACAGGGCAACCACGATGGTGTCCTTAGAACCTGCGGGGACGAGAGACACGGGGGGCAGGGAGGCTTTATCCGAGCACCCCAACCGCCCTGGGGGGTTCCCTTCCAACCCCTGGCACCCAGCCCTGGACCCCCTGATGTGTCTGTCTGTATAAGTAAGCATCTTGCCATGCTGGGTGCGATTCTACAGTTTAAAGCTAACAGTGGTTTGTTCATGTTATCAAACAGTGCTATATAGAAACAAAACAGCCTGTACGAAGGATGTGGGTGGCAATTTAGGGGATTTTCAAGTTTTTTTTTTTTTAATGTATTTTATTGATTTTTTACAGAGATGAAGGGAGAAGGATAGAGAGTTAGAAACATCGATGAGAGAGAAACATTGACCAGCTGCCTCCTGCACACTCCCTACTAGGGATATGCCCGCAACCAAGGTACATGCCCTTGACCGGAATCGAACCTGGGACCCTTGAGTCCGCAGGCTGATGCTCTATCCACTGACCCAAACCGGTCAGGGCTCAAGGGTGGTTTTGATGAACCTTTGCCTCAAGCTCTGACTGAGAACCTAACCTCAACCTCTACAGAACACCAGAGTGCACCGCACGCATTCGCCAGATACTTACCCTCCGTGGACCCTGGGGGGTTGCCGTTGTTGGTGTCAGGCCGCTGTGGGGAAGAAATAAGAGAAGGGGATGAAGCCAATAATGTGCGGGGAGCCACAGAAGGCCTGTGTCAAAAAAGGGATACCCCCAGGCCTCTTAGCCCAGCCCTGTGTGTCCTGGGAGGAGGCCCAGAGAGGGCAGAGGACATGCCTGAGGTCCCACGGCACATGGGCTATAGCCACGACAAGGATCTGGAGCTGTGGGCTCTGCCCTTGGCTTTGGACATCCTGGGGGACACTGGCCTGGCTCTTCCCCTCGACGTACAGTGAGGGGGGTTGGTCCAGGCCCATGTTTTCCAAGGCGTGTTTGAAGAAACCCTGGCCCCCCAACATGCTCTGTGAGGAAAGGCTCCCAGATGTAAGCGAAGGAAGCTCAGTGTCTGTCTCCAGGGGAATTGGCAGCCACACGGCCGCGCTCTAAGCAGCCCTTGTCAGAGGGAGGCCGAGCCTCCTTCCTGACACAACTAAGCCTGAACGATGTATTGTTGAGTGAACAAGGCTAGTTCTTCAGAACAGGATACACTGACATGAAATGCATACACACCCTCCCTAAACACTTCGTGAGGACACACACTATGTACGTGTGAGTGCATGTTCACGGCAAAGGTTCGCGAGGGTCCTCACCACGCTGGCCATCGTGGATGCCTCTGGGGAGAGGGATGAGACCGCTGGGGAGGGGTCTTTGGTCAGAGGCAACTGTAGCGTTAACTGTAATGTGTGACTTTTCTTTCCGAGGGGAATGCCTTTGTGTGTCACGTGCTTAGATAAACAGTCATTTAAAGAACCGGGTTTGGGAAACACGGTGAAGTATAACCCTCTTCTGGGAGAGCCCCAGGCCCGCTGCCAAGAGTCATAAAAGCCCCGACTTTTCCAGGGGAGGAGCCTGATCTGGTCAGTTTCCCAAACTGATTTGACCTGGGAACTCTGAGTGGCTGAATATAGAATCCCTTAAATCTGATGCTCAGAGAGGACAACCAAAAACTGGAGGGAGAAAACCCTCCACTTCCCATCGGGGACAAGCTGGAGGGCCTCGGAGAGCCACAGCACGGGCCCCGGTGAGGTAGGCCGGAGGGGAGCAGACCCAGGAGCGGTCAGGGTCTAGGATGTCAGCTTAGGACGTCACCCGTGTGAGAAGCTCACGTCACCTCAGGCTGTTTCAAAAGAGGTCGTGCCAGAGGGAGGGAGGTGACCCTTCTACGACTCTCTCATGTCCAGACATCATGCCCGGCAAAGGGCCAGCAGGCTGGAGAGAGGCCAGGAAGCCATGGTACAAGCAAGAAGATGTGGAAGAAACAAGTGGGTTAGGGTAAGATCTTTGCCTTCAACCTCCACAGGCTGGCATGGCAAAGGGGGTGGGTGTGTTTGGAGCGGGCTGAGGGGCAGGTTTGGGAACAAGGAGTGGGGTGGGGTGGGGTAATAGACTGTCCTTTTTTAAATAATATATTCTATTGATTTTTTACAGAGAGAAAGAGAGAATGATAGAGAGTTAGAAACATCAATGAGAGAGAATCATCGATCAACTGCCTCTTGCACGCCCCCTACTGGGGATGTGCCTGCAACCAAGGTACATGCCCTTGACTGGAATCGAACCTGGGACCTTTCAATCTGCAGGCCCACGCTGTATCCACTGAGCCAAACCGGTTTCAGCTAGACTGTCCTTCTAAGGGTGCAGGTGAAGGCGGACACCTCTGCCTCTGAGCTTTCTAAGGCAGCCTCCGGGAAGGGGTTGGACTCAAGGAGCCCGGAAGGAGAGAGAACCCAGCCTTCAGGGTAGAAGGCGCTCCCTCTGCCCAGCCCTGTGACCCTAAGGAGTCACTGAACCACTGTAAGCCCTAGTCACCCTGGCTGTAAAGTGTCAGAACTCCTTCCTCACAGCTTTTGGTGAGGATTAGTGATGTGGAAACACCTCACTCGGTGCCTGGAACACAGTAGGTGTTCAAAAATAGTCTCCGTTAGTATAACTGTTGCTGCTGCTATTACTACTGTCATCTCATTACCAGTATTGTTATGGTTGCCAGCACGATCACTACTGTTACCTCCCTCTGATATCACTGTGGCAACTACCCTTCCTAGTGGTGCTGTTACCCTAACTACTTCTGCCACCATTGCCCACACTATTACCGCCATTGCTGCTGCTCTGACCGTTAGCACTCAGCTTCTGCCTCTGCTACTTCCGCTCCTACTGCTGACACTTTGGAAGTGGCATGAGCCAAGTCTAAATCCTGGTCTTCCTTCTTATTCACCACGTGGCTTTTGGCAGATTGTTTAACCTGCGGCTCCTCTGTAAAATGGGTGTAGTGAAAATTGTGACCCACAATGAGATTATTGTGGGGAGTAAAGGTGTTAATATAATAACTATAAAGCACTCAGGAGAGTGCTTGGCTCCGGGTAAGCTCTGGACAAATGTAAGTCCATACCTCTGCCAGTGTTACACCTGTCTTTTATATATATTGATATATATATTGATATATATATTGATATATATTGATATATAATTGATTTTTTACAGAGAGGAAGGGAGAGGAGAGAGCTAGAAACATTGATGGAAGAGAGACATCGACCAGCTGCCTTTTGCACACCCCACACCAGGGATGTGCCCGCAACCAATGTACATGCCCTCGAACCTGGGAACTTCCAGTCCGCAGATCGACGCTCTATCCACTGAGCCGAACCGGTTTTGGCTACACTTGTCTTTTTGCTGCTACACTCCCACGGGTATTTAGCAATGGGAGTAGAGCAGTTACCGTTACTACAGCCATTGCTAGGAACCTTGATAGTATCCTCACTGCCATTACTTCAGCCGCTGTTGTTACTTGCTGGTCACTCATTGTGTTCAGTTTCTGCTACTTCCTGGGCTTGAGGCCTGTTCCCTGGGATCTGGTCACTGCAGCCCAGGCCGCGTGGCAGGATAAGAAGTGACGTCTGCCAAAACCGGTTTGGCTCAGTGGATAGAGCGTTGGTCTGGGGACTGAAAGGTCCCAGGTTCGATTCCGGTCAAGGGCATGTACATTGGTTGCGGGCACATTCCCAGTTGCGGGTGTGCAAGAGGCAGCTGGTCGATGTTTCTCTCTCATCAACGTTTCTAGCTCTCTATCCCTCTCCCTTCCTCTCTGTGGAAAATTAATAAAATATATATATATTTAAAAAAAAAAAAGAAGAAGAAGAAGTGACGTCCTTGGCCCTAGCCGGTTTGGCTCAGTGGATAAGGATCGGCCTGCAGACTGAAGGGTCCTGGGTTCAATTCTAATCAAGGGCATGTACCTTGGTTGCAGGCTCCTCCCTGGCCCAGGCCCTGGTCAGGGCTGGTATAAGAGGCAACACACTGATGTGTTCTCTCACGTCAATATTTCTCTGACTTTCTCTCTCTCTAAAAAAAATCAATGGGTGAAAAATCAATAGGAAAATATCCCCGGGTGAGGATTTAAAAAAAGAAAAAAGAAGAAGTGACGTCCTAGCCCTGGGTGCTCAGTGCAGACGTGTGCTGGAGAGTTAGGTAGGAGGCTTCTGGAGACTGGTCAGTCCCATTTCACCCCACACATGCCTGCTCACACTTGGGAAAACAGGAGGCTGTTGAAGCAGCACAGGGCAGCCCCCCCCCTCCTCCCCCACTCACCCGCTTGCCTGTGGACGTGGGATCTGGCACATACAACGGGCTGTGTGGGTTGGCACAGGCCTCGCTTTTCGAGACCTTGCCTCTGTCCCGGAGGAACTTGGACTTCACGCACCCCATCCTGCGGCAGAGAGAAGGGAGGTGAGCCCTGCTGGCCCTGAGGCCAGGCAGGGGAGTCTCTGATGCTGGGTCCCAGGCACTCTGCCCCCAGGCTGGCTTCTCCTCTCCTTCCCCATCACCCCTCCCTTGTCAGCCCCGCTCCCCACCCCCACCCCCCACCCCCCACTTGCCACACGGAGCTCGCTCTGTCCTTGCCATCTCTGGGCTTCTTCATGTCCATGTCAACCATGCACAACACAGAGCGGACACGTTTTTACAGTCATGCTATGAGGGACCCTTACTATGGCGAGTATATTTAGAGACTAAATCGTGAGGATCGTTGAAATTCAATGAGTAGAGTGTGGGGACAGAGTGGGTGGTAGGCACAGCCAGCTCAGGGCTCAGAAAGACCGAGGTGACCCAAGGCTGCTCAACACTACCCTCACCTCACTCCTCATTCCCGCTGCTCCCATCTCAGTTCCCTGTCAGCAAAGGGAGCAGATAACACCACCTACTGCAGGGGGTTGGAAGGAGGAGAGAAAGCATGTGGGCAGACAGACACTCAGCACAGCATCAGGCTCAGGCAAACAGGAAAGTAAAACTATAATATACTGTTATTATCTAATACATTACCATTTTCTATTAGGTGGCAAAGATCAATCCTGTAATGTGGCTCATACATTCCAGCTAAGTAACATTCAAGGCACCATTTTATGATTGTTTTATAACAGGTTCCTATGGTTATTTTATGATCGCTTCATAATAGGTCTCTCTCCTTTTGTTTCATTGATTTAATCTGATCATTCATGCATTCATTTACTCAGCAAATATATATATATATATATATATATATATATATATATATATATATATATATTTCTTTCTTTTAAAATATATTTACAGAGAGGAAGGGAGAGGGGTAGAAAGTTAGAAACATCGTGGAGAGGGAAACATCGATCAGCTGCCTCTTGCGCACCTCCTACTGGGGATGTGCCCGCAACCACGGTACATGTCCTTGACCAGAATCAAACCTGGGACCCTTGAGTCCGCAGGCCGACGCTCTATCCACTGAGCTAAACCAGTTAGGGCTCTATATATTTCTTTATTGATTTCAGAAAGGAAGGGAGAATGAGAGACAGAAACATCAGAGAGAATCATTGATCGGTTGCCTCCTGCACGCCCCCTACTGGGGATTGCAAACCAGGCATGTGCCCTTGGCCAGAATTGCTCGGAACCTTTCATCCACAGGTTATGCTTTATCCACTGAGCCAAACAGGCTAGGGCACTCAGCAAATATTTATTGAGCACTTTTCTAAAACCATGAATAAGACAAGCAAGTTCGTGCCCTTATGGAGCTCACACTGGGATGAATGGGAGACACAGGCAATAAACAAATAAATAAAAAGGTAGATTTAGTTATTGAAAAGTGTGAGGATAATAAAAGAGGATATGATAGGGAACTTCTCTGTGCGGCCTCTTTATTTTATTTAAAATATATTTTTACTTATTTCAGAGAGGAAGGGAGAGGGGTAGAGAGATAGAAACATCAGTAATGAGAGAGAATCATTGATCAGCTGCCTCCTGCAGGCCCCAAGCTTTCCCCAAGTTGGGGATTGAGCCCACAACTTAGGTATGTGTCCTAACCAGGAATCGAACCATGACCTCCTGGTTCATAGGTCAACATTCAGCCACTGAGCCACACCAGCTGGGCTTTTTAAAAAAAAATATTTTAAGATTTTAAAATTGATTTTTAGAGAGAGGAAGGGAAAGGGAAGGAGGGAGAGAGAAAAATCGACCTGAGAGTGGAACATCAATTAGCTGCCTTCTGCATGACCCCTACTGGGGACAGAGCCTGCAACCTGGGCATGTGCCCTGACCAGGAACTGAACCAGCAACAGTTCAGTTCATGAGACATTGCCCAACCAACTGAGCCACACGGGGCTCTATGGGGCCTCTTCAGACAGGGTGGTTGGGGGAGGCCTTTCAGAGGAGGTGATAATGGACCTGGGGCCCGAATGACACAAAGGAGCCAGGCTTGAAACACGCTGAGGAAGCAGTGTTCCCGGCAGAGGGAGCAGCAGGTGCAAAGGTCCTGCGGTTGGACTGTGTTTGGAGAGAATGAGTCCCTTAAAGACAGCCAGTGGGACTGGAGATTGCAGGTAGGAGAAAGGATGGTACGCGATGACGTTGCCACATCCTGAACAGTCAGCGGGGAATTTAGATTCTAGATTCTACGTGAGGAACTTGGGTTAGATTCTAAGGGTGATGGGAAACATTGGGAAGTTTTAGGCAGGACAACGATAGGATTCCATTTAAACGATCCCACCGGCTTCTGGGTTGAGGATGGACTGTAGGATCAGGGCAGGGAACACTGTCCACTGCAATTGTCCAGCCCGGACATCACGGTGGCCCGGCCCAGGGTGGTGGCTGCTGAGGAGATCAGAAGCAGGCACAGATTCAGGGCCATTTTGGAGGGAGAGCGGACAGGCTGTGCTGATGGATTGGTTAATTAATTTAAAGACACTTACAGAAAACACATTCACCTGATCAGAGTCAAGGCTCATTGTAAAGGTGGCAGAAATATTTCACTTCTTTTCTCAACATGCACACATGTGTTTGCTGGGGAGACGGGCTGTGAGCAGCCACATAAGGAAGTCATTGTTTTCCTCATCTGTGCACCACTGACATTTTCTCCTAAAACAGAACGCAGTTATCCTTGTTAAAATAAACATGTGTTAGTGGTTTAAGGAGGGGGGGTGGGGGTGGGAAGTCCTAATTCTTAGGTTTAGGGGAGTTATTTGAAAAAAATTCTTTTCATTCACAAGGGTGCTGTGTTGTCTGTCCTGGTGGGAACTGGGGACAATTTACCACCTCAGCACTTAAGGGGTTTGTGTTTCAGTTGCCTTTTGTGAATAAAGTAAGGAATCCAGACTCACTGCTTTCCACTGTGCTGGCGTTCATTTAAAACAGAAACCAAACCAGCACCTCTTTGGTTGGTGATAAGTATCACAGCTCTGGGAAATAGAGCAGCGTCTGTGTGGTTTTATATGGCATAGCATTGCATTGCATTTCATATATTTTGATTAATGGGGGTGTTCTGGGGAGAGCACTGCTGTGTGATACGGGGCAGCTCCTTCCACCTCTCTGAGCACCTATGAAGCATCATTTCATCACAATTTACATAAAGATGGCCACGGGGTCCTGAGGGATGGGTCTCTGAAAGCCCCGGTTCATGCACGATTCAAGGCCACCGTTGAGAAAGGATGGTGGGGTTTTACCTCAGAGGATGCTGGTGAGCACCGAGTGAGTTGTAAGTGTAAAGGTGTCTGGCACACAGTAGGTGCTCAGAAACCTTAACCATAACCATCTCTGTTAACTCGCATAATGGCCCTGGCCTGGAGCAAAAGCAAGCGCAGGTTGCAAATCCTTTGGCCCATAAGCTTAGAGATACCACAACATTTAAGATTTTAACTTTTTGAAATAAAGAATTCCCATTAATTCATTTTTCCCCCCCACAATAAAGTGTGCTTTAAAAAAAGTGATACACCAGCAGGAGTCCAGTTTGCATAAAATGTGATTGTCCCCTTAAACCAAGAGAACCAGCCCACTGCCCAGGGTGGAGTGGCCTCAGAAACGCTCATTTGCATGACTGCTAGACCTAGAAATGTAATGTGAGCCATGTATATAACTTAAAATTCTCTCCACCCATATTTTTCAAAGTAAAAATAAACAAGTGGATTAACTTTTAGACACATTTATTTTTCCCAAAATGTCAAAATTCATATATATGTATATATATATATATATATATATATATATATATATATATATATATTATATATATATATTTTATATATATATATTATTAATTTTTTACAGAGAGGAAGAGAGAAGGATAGAGAGTTAGAAACATCAATGAGAGAGAATAATCGATCAGCTGCCTCTTGCACACCCCTCACTGGGGATGTGCCTGCAACCAAGGTACATACTCCTGACCAGAATTGAACCTGGGACCTTTCAGTCCACAGGCTGACGCTCTATCCACTGAGCCAAACCGGTCTCGGCTCAAAATTCATATTAACAGCTTATCAATATAAAAATCATCAGTTAGGTACTTTTGCTTTTTCATGTTAAGTTTTCCCATCCCAGTGTGTGTTTTACATGGTCAGCACCCCTCAGTGAGGACTTGCCATGTTTTGGGAGTTCAAACGCTGCCTGTAGTTAAAGCTACTGTACTCAGTGGTACAAATATAGTATGTATCCATCCTTGCACACAAGATGCTGATCTTGCTCATGTCTACGTCCCTCAGTGTTTAACTCAGTGCCTCCCTGGCACATGGTAGGACATAATGCATAGTTAGTGAATAAATGCATGCCCAGAGCGTGGGCTCTATGTAGTTGGTCCAACACAGACGTCAAGACGTGGGTCCTGATCCAGGAACCGAGTTGAGAAGGGAATTACATTCCAAAGCCACGTGCAAAGAAGCTGGTAGGGATGGCACAGTCAGAGCCATGCAAAAATTGCTAAGATACTTAGTGGGCGAAAAAAGCAACTTGCAAAACATATATATTATCAAGTCCTATTTGTCCCATGTATTTATATTCCGGTACTGTGAATGTCAGTATAGATAGAAAAAACAACCTGTTTATAGTAATTGAGCAGCAGGATAATGGCGAATTGGGTTTTGAAAACTGCGGAGGATTTCAATAAAGATTTGGGGAAAGTCAAGAATGTTTTAAAGAAGCACTGACTTCCAAAAAGGATTCGAAGGCACTTAAAATATTAAACCACATACAGAGCACTTCAAAACTCAAAAGGTTAGGGTACAGCAGTTGGAAAGGAAAGATTTCTGAACCAGAAGCCTAGGGTGTGACTGCTACAGTCACTGTGTACTAGATTTATCTCTGAGCTTCCTAGTAGCCAAGGTAAAAGGGAACTTATACATTGTCACCATAAAATCCCAGGAAGTATCGCAATTTGTTAACAAAAATATTTTTTGAGCACTAATCCATATATACTAG